GCGGTTGCAGCAGCTGCAGCAAGCCGGTGTAACCGGCTTAAGCAGAAACAACAACAACTCCATGTCGTAAGCAAAGGCTTAGAAACGTAAGCTACCGTAAGCAGCTTTGTTTCCGAAATAGAATAGGAGTAGGGTTTCGGGCACCGCTGTAATGTTAAATGAGGTTCCTGGGTTGCTGTTAAGGATGAGGGGTTTAAGCTTTGCTGCCATAATGGAGACTCAGCTGGACAAGAAGCGGCAAAGTGGGTGTACCTAGTTTAGGAGTTATGCATGGATTTCAGGAACTTAAGCTGAGTTAGCTTACTTCTGTCTACAGTGCATAGCAGAGCTTCTTTCACATGGTACCTTGCCACAACTTCCTTCACTAGCAACCCAGGCTCAACTTTTTGATGGAGATAGCAATTGCTACTTGGAGGGTCATGGGGACTTAGGAAGTAGGTTAGGGTTTAAGGCTTAGGGTTTAGGGTTTAGGGTCATGTGGACTTAGTAAGTAGGTTAAAAGCTAGGATAACTAGGGTTACTAGATGGGTTATAGGGATTATTAACTTACTTGCTTAGTACCCTCCAAGTATAGGGCTCAGGGCTACGTCTTTGCTGACTTACTGGTGGTTGGTCGAGAATAAGGGAATGGATGCCTATAGCATTCCCTACTCACAGCTTATCGAGTGGCCCCTGAAACTTATTCCTTGACTCCGCACTAAACACCAGCCGTCCAGAAAGCTTTTGCCTAACACTTTGGATCATATTTAAACCCTAAACCGTAAGACCTAAACCCCAAAATCCTCAACCGCAGGTATGTTAACAAGAACAACGGCAATGCCGGAGCGAAGCACGCGCTGGTCGACGCAACGTTTGTGATGATCTGCAGCATGGCAGCTAAAGGTTTAGGGTTCAGGGTTCAGGTTTCGGGTCTAGCGTAAGATCCATTGGTCATTAGGGGTTATGTACTGGGTAAGTACAAGGATCCCACAGTTGAAGACTGGGAGGCTGACGTTGTAATCTCAGCCGGTGTGCTTCTACCCTAAGCCCTGTACAGCCTAAAATCGAAACCCTAAACCCTGTACCTACCCAAAAGCCTTTCAGCATTCTCTTCTATAGATCCTCTTGCAGCAGGCTAGGTCCGGTACGGGCCCCAAAGCTTCAGATGATGGTTTCGGGTCTAGGGTTTAGGGTTTTTTTAGGGTTCAGCTTGTAGGATTTAAGGTTTCACGTTTTAGGCCTTCAGAGGTTTCCGGGCTTCGTAGTTTTGATAGGATCTAGGAGGTAGGGCTGTTGGCTTATGACACTCGGTTGGGGTCTTGTGTAGCTGGCAACCTGAACTCACGGTCATTTTGCATATTCTCCGAAAGTTGCAACTGCAGATTACACTTCATGTTTTGAACCTATGCGCCTAAGAGTAACGCAACCGTGGTGGGATTATAGCCTTCCCCAGAGGGTCCATATATACAACTATTAGGGAATTAGGCCCCAAAATACCATACTATAGAGGGAATTATGGGTCCCAATTCCCTAATGGTTGTATATATGGACCCTCTGGGTTCTGAACAACTGTTCTAATATGACACTGTTATTGTGAGGGCTCATTCACAAATCTATTTCTCCATCCATAAAGGCCAACGCTTACAAAGTTTGACGTGTTTAGTTCAGCTAGGTTTAGGGTTTAGGGAGTTTAAGGTTCAGGGTTTAGGGAGTTTAAGGTTCAGGGTTTAGGGAGTTCAGCGTTCGAGGTAGACAGCCATCATTCCTTGCATCTCCAGGGTCTCTGAGAAGCCCTGACCCCAACCCCAACCCCTAGATCCCTAAACTTTAAGCCTTAAATCCTAAGCCTTAAGCCCGAAATTCTATACCCTAAAACCTAGATCCTAAACCCCCAACCCTTAGATTCCAAGCTCCCAACCAGAACCTGCTTCAAGGTGTTTATCTTCTGGATCCTCAGATGCATTGGAATGCGGTTAGGGTTCAAGCAATATACTATGCACAGTATATAGGGATAATGGAAAAGAAAATGGAAACCACTATTTAGGGTTTAGGGTTTAGGGATTAGGGATTAGGGTTCGGAGTCTAGGGTTTAAGTTTCGGGATTCAGGGTTTCAGGGCTTTGGGGTCTATTTATAGGGCTACAGCAAGGTTATTGCGGATGGGTCACATCCAAGTTACTATCATACGGAGTCGTAAGTGGCAAAATCCTAACCCGGAACCCTAAGCCCTTAACCCCTGACTTCCTCCACCCACCATTGTAGTTGCCTCGTCTAGGATTATAGTACCCTTGACACTCTCGAAAGTTTCTCGCTCCTATAGACTTGAGATATTTCAAGTCCCTTCATACAAATGGGTGATAAGTCAAGCATAAGGGATTTGATGCTACAAGATCCTGCATGAACTTAGCCTAATGCAATACTGCCTTTTGCAAGAGACCCAATTTTTAGGTACTTGGGTCTTGGGTAACAGTACTTATAGTACAGGTTTTGGGCAAGAATATGATTATAAGGTACTTGGACCATTAGGGATAGGGTACCTCAGATACGCTTGGAGATGGCACTGGTAATTATTCGGCCCCTACAGTATCTGCCCGTCCTGGACCCCAAGATTTATCCCTGAGGATTTCTAGTCAGCTTAGCCAAGGCATGTTTCCGAACACAGAGATTCGTGCCCCAAGTTGAGCAGTAAACCCGATGAGTAAGCACTAAACCTTCCTCCTATAACCCCCAGAATGTCAATGCGTAGTCTTTGAATCCTAAGCGCTTCAAGTCTATCTATAACGACCACTTCGGGCCAAAGCCTATAAATAGTGCGAACTAGGCATGTCGGCACACTTCGAACATCATTGAAGGTCTTTGGAGGATCTACAGGCTTCGTGCTGCAACTCCTGGGACCCCCGGCTGCACTTGCATTTACGCATAACGCGGGAGCCGAAATAACCAGAATTAGGGTGTAGGTCTTAGGGTTTAGGGGAACAGGGTTTCAGGGCAGAGTATGCAACAGTTTCCCAGAACAAAATCGACACCCCTTAATTAAGGAATATGCCTTACATGATGCCAGGATCCCTAATCTGATTAAAGGTGTTTTCCCTAATTCGGGGATATTGGGCTCTCTGGGTAAATCAACCCAAGCCTTAATCCTAAACCCTAAGCCTCATCAGCGGATAACATTCGTAACCAGGCAGGCTGCATCACTCTAGGAGCCTCAGGATTGCTTTCCATGCAGTCCATTGACGTATAGTAGCTTTCAAGCAGACATAAAGGATGAGCTATAGTCTGAACTCCTTAAAGAGAGTTATATATATATATGTGAGTCTATTGGGGATTCTATAGGGGTTATTACGGGTAATACTAGAAATTTCGAGCTCATGTTGTGTACTGCATTTGGGGCTCTTCTTTCAATGTGGGGAACTCCATATTCTATGTACTCAATGGGTCTGCTGCGTCAGGGTTCGTCTGAAGCGGCTTTATGAAGACTCTCCATTTTAAGTAATGTCTAGCCTAGCCTCCGCATGAGACCTCTAGTCAATGGAGGGTTGGCGGGGGGTGGGGATCAATACTTATCATAAGATCATAATCTTAACAGAATCCCCTATACTGGTCCTTGCATTCACACCCCCACCCCCACGCCCCCGTCTCTGCAACAGGTAAGCGAGAGACTTGGCTGACCTAAGCGGCCTTTTTCAAGTCAACCCTTAACCCTACACCCTCAACCATAAGCCCTCATAAACCTTAAACTCTACACCCTACATCCTAAACCCTAAGCCCTAAACCCTAGCCAGATTATGACCCATGCCCCAAGGCTCTTGGACCCGCAAATTATAGGATCCCATAGCCAGCCCCCAAATTAAGGGTTTAGGGTTTAAGGTTTAGGAAGGCCCAAAATGTTCCCCAGAGCCTTCAGACAGTTGTTGCTAATCCTAGAGGGTCCAAGTACCCAAGAATTAGGTACTTGGGTTTGGGGAATAGCTATTATAGTACAGGTTTTTGGTAAGTATATGATTATTTGGTACTTGGACCCTCAGGGAACGTTGTAGTTAAGGTCATAGATGTTTTTTTTGCAGGTAAAAAAGAAGACGCTAGGAAAAGAATTGACATGACTTATCTATAAACACGTTAGGCGAGTGGCGGGACCTATACCTGCCTCAAAAGAATTTCTGTTCTAGGTATTGTATGAGTTCGCGGACCCTAAACCCTAAACCCTAAACCTTCAAGCGATGTTTCACATTAAGTTGACTGACAAGGAGCACGAGGGGCCCCCCTAAACATAAGGGCCCCCTGAACATAAGTATGGCCATAAATTTAGGGTTTAGGGTTTAGGGCTTACAGGATTAGCCCAAATCCTGATTACCAAACCTCCCCCTTGGTAAGGATTATGATAATAGGGATCCCAATATTAAGGCCCTTAAATGGAGGGGGTTCGTTAATCATGGGTCTACATCATCATAAGTAGTAGTTCTGGAACTACCCTAAACCCTAAACCCGGTGTATAGCTATGTAACTGGGGGCGGCTCGTTGTAGTGTCCGGGAGCCCCTAAACTAAGAAACTTCGGACTCTCCTTATCTCATCCCCTGAAGTTTAAGGGTTTAGGGTTCAGGGTGTACTTGTCTTCGGGGTTCGCAGAGATTAGAGTGGCCCCTTTTAGGAGCTGCCGTAGTGAGGATGATAGTTCATTTGAGTCTGTATTAGGGTCTCCTCCTTTCTACAGACACCGCCATAGGGTAAGTTCTCGAAAGCATCTCTCTATAATCCTTAAGCGAGATCCTGCGATCTCCTTGTAGCCTCCTGACCCTTGAACTCCCAAACCCTAAAGCCTGAACCCTGAATCCTATACAGTAAGCCCTAAGCTGAAATGCTCTAAAGTCCCTAAGCGTCCCCAACTTTGTGAGTAGACCCCAAAAGGATTTACCAAGTTCCAAATATTTTTGATTTTCCTGTTACGGAGCTGAAGCTAAGTTTCTCGCACCATAGTAAGGAAATATAAGCTATGAACCCTTATTTATGGTAATTTAATCTAAGCTCTTGAACCCTCAGGGTCCAAGCACCCAAGAATCATTTATCCATGGGAGCCTACAACCCCTCCTCTTATGCTTCCGCCCCCCAATGTTCTCCTTCAATGAGCCTTATAGCCTTAATCATCCCTGAAGAAGCAGAACTAATGGGGAAGCATTGGGGAGGGGTAGTATACAGCTGGGAAGTCTGAGGGGGGGTAGTATACTGCTGGTAGGGGAACCCATGATATCCCTCTAAACATGCGCTACAATTACTTTTACCAAAGCCCCGACTACCCAAGTCTTGAGTACTTGAACCCCAAACCCTGAACCTTCAACCCTAAATCCTTTACATACATATATATATATATATATGGATGGTACTTTCGCAAACCAGGGGACCCCAATATAGACACCAACATACTCTAATCCTTATGGGACCCCCAAAACGGTACGCAGAACACGTCCGAGGTCTTCCTTGGGGATCGCAAGTCCCTGATGACGCCAGCGTCTGGCCTGCATGTAGGTTCAGGCTTCAGGGTGTAGGGTGTTAGGGCCTGGGATTTGGGGCTTAGTTTTGTTTTTTGTTTCTCGGGTGATGGGTGTCGTGGTTTTAGGGTTTTGCGTTGGTTGTTTTCGAGTTTAGGGTCTTAGGGTTTGGGTTATGTGGTTTAGGCTTTTCGGCTTAGGGGTAATTTTAGGGTTTGGCTGTTGACCACACGGGGCATGAGGTTCTTTTTTTATAGACACCAACATGCTATCATATTCCCACTATTATGAGCATCCCAAAACGGGATCCCTTTTTTTGGAAGCCACCATGCAAGAAGGATGAGGATTTTTATTGCTAGGGGAGAGGGTTCCTTTACGGGCTTCCCTGCCAATCTGATCCACTTGAGGTGGTTCATGTAGCATCAGGGTCATTCAAAAGTAGAGAGAGCCCCGTGCTTGAATACCCTCCATCATGTGGCGCATTCATAGCACGGAAAAAGCCTGTCTAAGAGGATTGTTTCGCCACAGGCAAAATAACCATCATCATGTGTAGTAGTCATTGAAGAAGGTCTGTGGCTAAAGATTGCGATGAGTGTTTTGCCGTATTATCGCACATGAAGTCACGGTTTGTATGTAGGCTTCCGTGAAGGCCTTTCAATGTCATCTGTAGATACAAGCACCCTTCAACCCTTCGGAAGACTGACAAAGGTTCTTTACCGCAGAAATTGATTATGCTGTAAGGAGGAGCTGCAAGTAAGTAAGAAATACCATACACACGTGGTAGCCAGGACGCTCCTTCAATATGGCTCAAAACTTTTTCGGACAAAGCCCAAAATAAGTGTCCATAACAATCCAAACAACCCAGTGTAGGTAATGTTTGCAGTCTCTAGGACCCAACAGGATTCAAACAGCCCAATGTAGGTAGCATTTATAAGCTTTAGGGCCCAATGTACGTTATCTATGTACTTGGATCCCTAAACCCTGAACCCTTAACCATAAACCTTTGGATCCCTAGGGTGGTTATTTGTGAGGCAGAAAGTCTAAATCTTGGGATACCAAGCGGTGCTTGTAGAGGCTTTCTCGGCCTCAAAATGCTACTCTAAACCCTGATCCCCACGTAATCCTTGAGGGTTTAGGGCTCATGGTTTCGGGTAAGGACCCCTGAAAATTTCATATATATATATACATATATACATATACATATAGACACAGTGACTCTAAGGGTTTCCCACAGCTTGAGAAACACCAATGCAAACCCCGCTGCATAGCCACGTGGACCTTGCTACACCTTCTTGTCTGTCTGTCTGCTCATCAGTTTGCACATTATGCCAGGCGTACTTCTACCAAACGCCCTAAACCCTAAATAGGGTTTACTTGGATCTCCCAAGTACCTTTCATAACAGGCTATATACCCAACATTTCTTTTGGATTAACGCCATTTTGCTAGGTATTTGGGAGACCCTACGTTGCCTTACTGGTGCTTCAGGGAGTGGGGTCGTGGATCCCTATAATAATCCCTACATAATCCCCATACATACCCCTATAATGGCACCTATATTTTCTCCCCCTCTCTCACTTAAGCACCAGTACTTGGCAGTCCGACACCCAAACGACTTCTGTAGCCGAAGGTCTCTATGGCGAGACCGACCAATCGGGAATCTTCTACCACGCTGGGAACAAGGCAATTCTCACGTTGACCCTAAGCCCTCAACCCAAACCCCCTAACGCTCCACATATCTCAAAGTAGGTAGTGGTTAACGAAGCTTGAAATCTTTTATCTTTTGAAATGGCACGTGGGATGGCTTTTCATAAGTTTCGGGCAAGTTTCTAAGCACCACTATGCTATAATCCCTCTTACAGGGACCCACACGAAGGGACTTCTAATTTCTCGAAACCCCCCATGGATTGCCATGCGATTTTTGGAGGGTCAGGGGAACTTCGTAAGTAGGTTAATAGCCCCTATAACCCATATAGCAACCCTAGTTATCCAAATTATTCAACTACTTACTAGGTCCCCATGACCCTAAACCCTAAACCCTATATTACAGGGGTTATTAAGCAAGAGAACCCTAGTTATCCATATAGTTCCCCGTCTTAAGCCTAAACCCTAAAGCCCCACACCTCGCCCGGCTACCCTATGGGTCCAAGTACCCAAATAGCAGCTACTTAACCCTCAACTTCGGGTTTAGGGTTTAGGGGTTTAGGGTTTAGTGGAATACAGGAACCCATTTAGGTCCGGAAGCTTACATGTGTAGGGTTTAGGGTTTATAGGGTTCAAGGTTTAGGATTTCCTTGAACCCTTTGAGCCCGGCCCTACTGCTACACGAAGTTGCCGTAATCTGGATATGCAGTGGACAGTCTTATTAGCCCATATATAAAATCATGGGTTCCCCTACTACCCCACTCTACTACCCCCCTAGGTTCCTCCCTAAATTAAGGTTACTTAAGGATAATTCGGCTTAGTTGAAATCAATTAATGAAGGGAACCTATTGAGAGGGGGGGTAGTATAGGGGGGGTCGTAGTGGAACCGAGTTTACGCTCCTGAACTGAACTGCAACCCAGTAGAACACAACCTGAGTTTAGGTTTTAGGGATCAAGGTTTAGGGCATAGGGATTAGGGTTTAGGGATTAGGATTTAGGATCTAGGGTTGAGGCTTTACCCTAAGGGTCCAAATACCTCATAATCAGATACTTCCCCCAAACCTGTACTATAAGAACTATTAACCAAAACCCCAAGTACCCAATTTTTGGGTACGTGGATTTTTTGTGTTAGTGTGTAGCCGGAAGGATTTAGGCGTTAGGCTTTAGGCTTTAGGGTTCCTATCTGATACCTGCCAGGTGCGAAGCTACGTGCTCAAACCCCTGCTGGCCATGCCCTCAGTTGAGGTTTAGGGTATAGGCCTCTGTTTTGGGAAGCTACTCTATTTGAGGATGGAAAGAGAATGGAACATCAAATGGAAGCTGGTGGTGCTGTTTGGGGTTTGTTCCTTTTGGTTGAATACTGTGGCCCCCAAGAGAGGAAAAGATTATGTTGTTCTTCCGGGTATTGCATTTATAGGAGGAACATAATCTTACATGGCTCAACCGACAAACGCAACATAATCCAGGGCACTTACAGCCTGCTTAGATCGGTACTTATGACCCGGCCCTATAAGCGCCATAAGTCCCTAAAGTGGTTATAGTTTGGTTATGAGTGCGATTTCAAGCCCTTGGACCTCCAACACGGTGCGCGGAAGAGAGTGAGCTCATGAAGTCAAGTGAGTAGTATTTTATTTGGGGATGCTGTGGTACTCAATGTCGAGTAAGATTATATCCTCCTTATAGTATTTTATATAAAGCCCTAAACCCTTAAACCCTAAACCCTAAACAATATCTTGCTCGGTTTCAACCACCAAAAAAACATTACTCAGGTGTTTTAGGGTACTGGGGTGCTGCATTTGGGCGGAGTGCTTTGGGGTTAAGAGCTGCACAGTTTGGGCAGTGTTTAGGGCGTAGGGATTAGGATTTAGAGTGTAGGTTTTAGGGTTTAGGGTTTGGGATTTAGGGATTAGGATTTAGAGTGTTGGTTCTGGGTTTAGGGTTTGGGGTTTAGGGATTAGGATTTAGAGTGTAGGCTTTAGGGATTAGTGTTTAGGGTTTAGGGATTAGGATGTAGAGTGTAGGCTTTAGGGATTTGGGTTTGGGTTTTAGAGATTAGGGTTTAAGGGTTAAGGTTAAGGGCATGGGCTTAGGGTTTAACTTCTAAGACCCCTAAGTCCCTAATATAGTCATGGTTGGCTTATGAGTACCTGGACCCCCAACACTAGGTACAATAATGGCCTTTTCAGCATTTCTAGGGTTCTAGGGCCATAAGTTTACCTAATGCTTACAGGTTTAGATAGCAGTTGCACATCAGGTTGCATGTGCCACAGGACCTGCAAGTGCTTCCGGAGCCGTTTCAACTTCTCACACCACACTGCCCTAGCCCCCTTCGCAAACGTGCACTACTGCTGAAGCCTACATAGTAGTTGCCAATGTGATTCTCGTGTGATCTTCAATACGTTATGAATGAACTTTGCGCGCCATCTCGTTCGCATGGCCGTAGCACAACAACATCCGAAAGCACTGGCGACCCTGGCGACCCCAGACTCCTTAAGTCAAAGCCTCCCAGGTACCATAAGAAAAAGGTGTATACCCTTATTATGGAGGGGTTCCTGGGAACCTAGCCTCCTGCACTCCTCAACCCTAAACCCTAAACCCCATTCTGGGCCCTTATCCAATGAGTACATCGTACTATGGAACCTGATGGAAAAACTCAGAACATGGTTTACCGCTTAGGGTTTAGGGGTAAGGTTTTCACCTGAGGACATTGCAATTCTGAACCCATGCTCAAGCCTCGACCCCTCTCCCCCCCCTCCAAAGCCACAAGCTCTCCAAAAACATACGAACGCTTCCAACCCCAGAAGGCATAATTAAATGCCCCAAAAGCTGAACCGCCTCCAAGACCTCAAGCCCCTAGACTCGTTTTAATGTTTGAGGTTCAGGGTTTAGGGTCTAGGGTTCAAAACATCCCTGGACACTAAAACCCTCGGAGCCTCTAAAGCTTCAACATCTCAAACTCCGCAAGCCCTAACAGGGTTTAGGGTTTGGGGTTTAGGGTTGGGGGCTGCAACACCATAAGCCCTGAATCTCAAACCTGAAGCACGAAACATCAGGCCCTAAATCTCAGACATCAAGCACCCGCCTAGATCTATCATGTGGATTGCTGCTAAGGAACTTAAATTAGGCCATGCAAGTTGCATGACGAGGAAAGTTTCTGAGTTACCATAAAAAGAGAAGTGTCGTTTTGGTATATCTTAATTCAAATGCCCTATTCTCCCTACATATTCCTACAGCCATACATACGCATATCCTCAGGTTCCATGTAATATCCGTTTGGTACTCCGTTTGATGCTCCATCAGGGTAAAACCTTCTACCTGATATGCAGTATCAAGGGCCCTTAGAATCCGCCAGCTAAGGCTGAGAGCACGAATCAGGGACCCATACTTCAAACCCTTCCTGGACTAAACCCCATGATCCTTCAACGCCCTCCCTATCATCCTTCATCAATTTGAATCCTATACACCAATTCAAAACCCCTAGACTAAACCCTAAAGTCCGTTCGGGTCTGAGACCCTAAACCTAACACCCTAAACCCGAAAACGCCGAACCCTGAACCCTTAACCTTTCAAGTCCGAAGGGTTGTAGAAAACCCTAAAGCCCTAAAACCCTAAAGCCCCAAAACCCTACAACCCTCTTCCGTCGTCCAAGGTTGGCAAACACCCGCATTGCGAAGCGGGGCTCGCGGCGCAGAACATCACTGTAGACGTCTGAAGCTGAAGGAGGTTTTAGGGATTTGGGTTTGAGGGTTCGGGTGGGGTTAGTGATTCTGAGGCTGATGTTGGGATAGATGTCTGTTACCTAGGCTTTGCGGCGTTCAGGGGCTTGCGGTTGATGAGTTTGAGGATTTCGGGCTGTAGGACTTGTAGGATGTTGGGTTTAGGATTTGGGTTAAATGTCCGAAGCTTAGACGTTTGAGGGGTTTGGGGTTTTAGGTTGTGGTCTCTAGACAATACGAGTTTTTGTTGTTTAGGGTTTGGGGTTTCGGGGACCAGGTTAAGAGGCTTTTAGTTGTTGAGCTTGGGGTTTCAGAGTTGAGTTTGACGTTTTGGACTTGGGGTAGTTGTCTGAAGCTTAGGCTTAAGGGTTGAGGATGAAGCTGAAAAAGAATAGAATAAGTCCGGACTAGTTTTCGGCGAAGGCCTGGAACACATGCCAGGGCGAATGTGCTATGCCAAGTTGCCATGTGTGCAGGTGTACTTTAGATAGCCATCTGATCTGATCTGTTCATTTCATGAGTCAAGAGTACGTAGACTTGGTTTTTCTGAAAACAGATAGATCAGCATGCGTTATGGCCAGATCCTTTTGTATTTACAAGGGTTAAGCCATTCCAAATGCCACAAAGTGAGTCCCAAGCACACCAAACCTAAAGTGCTCTATGGGCTATGGGCTATGACTGCTATGAGGCTGTGGTCAAGAAGCCTGTATGTCCGTCTGATACTCCACGCTTAGAACACTGCCAATGATGAGGCAAAACCCTAAAGCCCTGCAAGGCTTATGAGTCCAGGTACTTTCGAGAAACACTCATTATTTCTGAGTGTTTCTCAGAAGTACTCTCAGAAGAGCGAAAACATGAAACAATGCCCTAACCCTGTTATAGTGTTCCCCACACATCTGTGGGGCATCCCCCTTCTGGGCGTTTCTCATGCCTTAGGTCATCCGCACAGCTATGGAGCGTGAATCGAGCAACTACTTCGGAGATCGCAAGTTCTCCGACGGACAGGGGAGTTATGGTACAAGAGTATGTTTGGAAGTGTTTGTAGAAGTTGGGAAGCAGCAGTACAGATCTCAACATACTATATTTCTAACTTTGGGGACCTGAATTTCGGAAACAGGAATTTGTCCACAGTACTTCCTTCTGTTGGAGTACATCTACACTAAATCTTCATCTTGACCACGTTGATTCCTGCCCTCAAGTACAATGAGAGCTTCAGGTTAAAGAACGCGATGGGTTGGGAAAGTGCCGCGGTAGCTGGCTAGCCCGTGTGTACCAAATAGCCGCAATTCCGATTCATTCATCCAATGCAAGCGTAAGCCCTCAACCCTTAACCCTATAATGGCGGGGGAGGGTTGTTTCTGTGAAGGTGCGCCGCATTGACCTGGGTGATCTAGACCCTATAAGCCCTAAGCCGTCATCAGCTGAGGAAACCGATTTTGGGGCTTACGCTTTTGGAGGTTTTGGGGCTTAGGGCATAGGGTTGTGGAATGCATTGAAGAGAGGGGCTTCTATTTCTTATGCAGTTCCGGATTCTTCTAATCATCATGGCAGTCATAACCACTGCCTGTGACTGCATGCAACAGACTGCAGATCACCGTTCTTACTCTTGGCCCTAATTTCTCTATAACCGCTAAACCCTAAACCCTCAACCCTAAGCCCTAAGCCCTGATCCTGTGCAGTGAGGGGCTGAGACCCAGGGCTTCTGAGTTCGGAAGGTTTCTGGCCCGCACGGTACTTGTTTCGTCCGTTTATAGCTCTTATAGGGGACTTGTCAAACAATCCCAAGATAATCCCTAAGAAGGACACCCATATTCCCCGTATAGCCCTTATATACCCCTAGTGTCCCAAGAATACCTCGATTTAGTGAAGCTCCAATACCCCGACGATCATCAACGCAAAGATTCCTGTAGAAGCCTGCATAATTACCAATACCCAGAGGGTCCTATTAATAATAATGAATGCGGGCCCAGATTTTCCTGTGTAGCGCGGTTATGGAGCCTACTTCCATAATGGTGACATATCTAGACCCTCTGGGCTTTTTTCTCGTATAGTATGCCCTATATGCCTGTCCTGAATGTACAACACTTACAAAGACCCCTCAATAAACCCAGTCTCCAGTTTGATGTTTCTTGAGCAATTCCAGGCGATTCTCAACTCTTCTATTTCAATAGGCCTCTACACCCCTAAAAGTCTACTTATCTCATCAACCTCTATGCATGCCCGTATCCCCCTACAGAACCTTATTCGAATCATTCCATTACAAATGGGTTGCTAGAGAACAGCCCAGCACGTCCCATCTGAGGCGTACCTCCATGACTGGGCTCGCGAATGGCGCTGTCGAGCGATACCATTCTGTCTCCATGTGGCTATGTCTTGAGATTAGTGTGGGCAAATTTTAAGAAGCTTGAAGGATGTCACCCCCAAGCGCAGTTACTATTAGCCAATACATGCAAGGGTCTTAATTCAGGTTTATGTTGTACATTGGTTACATTACCTGGTTGCAAAATATTGCGGGCTGTCTGTGACGGATGATGTAGGCTTCATCTGGGGCATACTCTGTATCCGGGATCCTCGTATTTTAGAGGCCATCTGCTTTGGAGGGTCAAGACATCTCATTTTGAAGCGCAGACAAATGATGGGTTCGGTTCGGGGTCTTGAGCTCAGGGTTCCCCTAAAACCTAAACGCCGGGCGGTCTGGTATATCTTCCGGTGTCTGTTTTTGGCAGGTGTCAGCGTTTAGGCCTTCTGGTCCGGTTGGGTTAAAAAAGTTGTACTAGTCAGGGTACCTGTGCAAGCAGCGGTGCTGTGTTCGTGTTTGGTTCCATGCTTTTGACAGTACCCTACCCTAAGGGTCCAAATACCTCATAAATCAAATGGTTATCCAAAACCTGTATTATGATGACTCTTACCCTAAACCCAAATATCTAATTATACCCTTATATGCCCCCTGTATACCCCTATAACATCCCCTTTTACAGGGTACCGAATTATTGCGTACCTGGACCAGCTGGGCTAAGCCCTTCCCCCTTCAACCGTGCTCCTCGTTTTGCAGCAGATCCAGGCCGGGGAACGAGCAGAGGGTGCTAGAGTTTGGAGGTTGATTAACATTGGGATCATGGAAAAGAAAATGGAAACTACTATTTACGGTTTAGGGTTTGGGGTTGACCCATGATTAATAAACCCCCTCCTTTTAAAGGCTCTAATATTAGGATCCCTATTGTAATCCCTATTAAGGGGAGGGGGTTTATTAATCAGGGGTGTGGGTTAGGGTTGGGGTTGGCGCCCGAAACGCTAAATCCAAAGCCTAATAGGTTAATGTAGACCTCTGATTAATAGCCCCCTTCCCCTTAATTTTATGGGGATCCTAATATTGAGGCCCTTTAAAGGAGGGGGTTATTAATTAGGGGTCTACCTTAGGATGTCATGAAATACCCCGAGTAGGACTCTGGTTTCTCAAAGACAGGCAGGATGAGCACAGCTACTAAGGGGTTGCCAAGTTGAGAGACACAAATTTGCGTGTGCCTTCAGGGCATATCCAGAGAGTCCAAGTATACACCCAACCATTAGGCACTTGGGTTTAGGGTAGTAGTAATTATAGCGCAGGTTTTGGGGCACATATGTGCTTATTAGGTACGTGGACCCTTAGGGATGCTGGTTCTTTTTAGGGAAGAAGGGAGTATGATCCCTATATATATATATATAGATATAATCCCCATATTCCCATATCGTGTATTCTCAGGGTCTTGGGAGCTGTCCTCTTTGTCGCCACCTGAGTTTTTTTGCCAGCGCCCTGATCTAAATGCGAGAGGATCGACTATGCTGTTCATGGAGGACAGTGTGCACACGCCTGCATGTCAATTTCCAGGCACTGCATGACTAGGTCTCGACATGCGCTATGGATATGGATATGAATCACTCTGGGCTCACAGCACGCGAGCATTACTTACTTGAGCCTATGAGACGGAACCCGATCACTGTACGTTGTTGAACACGGAGTCCGAAGGCCCAAACTTTCCAGTCCTAGCCCTGAACAGGACAACCGGAAATCATGACCCCTCAATAAGAAGATCTGCCCCAGGAACCCATAGAAGCTGAGCCCTGACCCCCAGATGCCAAGTTAGTTTCCTTTTTTGCATTCCTTTGCCTTTGCCGGCCATGAACAAGGTTCGGCACCATGGACCCCGCGCACGTGGAGGAGGTTGAGGATGCCATGTGCGGCTCCAGTGCAGGCTCTGGAAGTGAGACTCGGGGGAAGGGCTTGGGGATAGGGAGTTCATGGCTTGCAGTGGGTTTGGGGCATAGGGCTAAGGGCCGAGGGTTTAGGGTTTTGGGGTAGAAATTATTTGGGTCAGGCTGAGTTTTTTCGGGTTTAGGGCTTGGAGGTTAGGGTAAGGCTACGGGTTGTGGGCTGAGGCTGAGGCTGAGGGTGTGGTGTTTAGGGTTTAGGCATCATGGTCTAGTATAGACTACAGGGTTTAGTTGCTGCAGCTATCATGGAGGTTCCGCAGTATCTACGATTCCAAGACACATTGTTTCCTTGGTAGAGCTTTTAAACCTAAAGCGCGGTACGTCTGCAAAGAAGCTGTAGACTTGACAGGTTCAGGAGTATGGTTCGGCGTTTGCAGTCGAGGGTCGATAGGTTATGGTGCCCCAAAGGCCAACTTATATCCTGTTGGCAGGAAGAACTTGAGGTTTAGCGGTGAGGATGAAATTTGGAGAAACATCAACAGGTCTCTCAAAATAAGCTTTCCGCTTCAGGGTAGTCTTAACAGCAATGATTACGGTGTTTCAGGATCTATGAGGAGGACCCCTTTTCATCGGAAATTCCCATGATGGGCCAGCATGATTTCCAACATGATTTGTTCAGAAGTTGTGTCGTGATTCAGGTATTGTGTTGATCTGTAAATTTCCGAAACCGTGTTCTTAGTATTTGGGTTGCGGTGCAGTATCAACACACCTGGACTGAGACGTAAGTTGTTTGCTTCACGCCCTGCTGCGCTTATCTGATTTTTGGACTGGTTTTGAGACCATGCCAGCAATATGAAGACAGATGACAAAACGAACACGAACAACGTGGTTCGGGGTCTAGATTTCGAGTTTGGGACCAGAAGTACTGAAGTAGTCTATCTTCTATTCATGCCACTTCACTGGGTAGTTTCCACGAATATGGGGACCCCAATGTGGACCCCAAAATACTAGAATGAGCAATTCAGACCCTTCGAGAGAAGCCCTCATATGACTAGAGTTTTAACGGGGAGGCGCTACAGACAGTCCCCAACAAAGCTCGTGTTTCCCTTTCGATGATTGTCAATTTATTGGACGTCCCATATGTCAAGAAGGGTTTTGGTTTTGGTGCAGGTCTGATCTTCGGATCTTCCGAACTATATTCTTTTGGGAATTGGGCGGTTGGTGACCCTAACCTGAATTGCTGAACCCCTTTACACCTCACACTGATATCTTGGGAGAAACATCGAAGGGAGGTATGCAAATTCCATGTTGTTTTAGCTTGTTGGCTATTCATATGTGGAATCTTAAGCCATTTAGTAAGTTTGGCGTGTTCTCCTTGGCTAAATGAAAAAAGGGGATAAACAGGGAAAAAGTGAGGGCCGCTCCGAAGGACCCAGGGTGTAGGTCTAGCTATTGCAGCCTTGGTGAACAAATTACGGAATATGATGGGAGTTTCCCAAAACTGGGGGCACCCCTTTTGGGGGTTCCTATAATAAGAAGGAGTATACATAGTATTTTGGGGTCTAAAATTGGGGCTCCCCTTATGTTGGGAAACTACCATATCTCAACCGCTGGGTCCCAAGAGGGGTCCTTCGCTTTTTCCCTGAAGTAGGTCAGCTGCTAAAGCGGCCCCTTTTATCGGCGGCAACCACACCCTTGTAGCTGCGGGCAGGGTCTGTGTAAACGCACCCCGCCCGCATTACGACTTCAGCTCTTGTTGTCCTTCCGGGAGTCATCTTAGAATTGCAGGATGGGGTGGCAAAGACATAGCAAGGATTGCTTCGCCAAAAACGATTTACACATGAATATACGTCCGATAATAAGCTGGCCTAGACTGGGTGTGTTCATTTTCGCTAAGTTAGCTACCGTTTCTTAGTGCACTTAGCAGGGTCTACTATGAGTTCGGTGGTACCCTAAGGCGTGGAACTCTTCCAGGAAGGTTACTCACGTAAACCATCTCCCCCTACCAACAACCTCCCCCCAAAAAGCTGCAGCTACACATAAACCTACAAGACCCTTTTCAGGGCTGCGGGGCATGAATTTAAGGGTGATATTGGGCCAATATTGGGGTGCCCAAACCATGTCTTTGTCTTCAAAGAGCCTTCCAGCAGGACCTTCATGGTAGAACTGACCAGATATCCGCAGCTTTGGGGAATTCACAGCGTCACACAAGATTCACAGCAGGACTTGGGGTTAGGATAGGATAGTCCTTCATAGTACAAGATGTTGCTTTCAGTCCTGGCGCTTTGCACTAGACGCCATACCCCAGGTATTCATCACTCACCTGAACATTTCCCAAGACAGCAGTTGGGGTTTGGATGTGTTGTGCTCCCCCCTAAACCCTAAACCCTAAACCCCACTAAACCCTAGACCCTAAACCCTAAACCCCCCTAAACCCTAAGTCGGCATTTCTTGTCCAATCCTCGGAGCCCTGTAGCTTACCCTAAGGGTCCCAGGACTCAAATAATAGGGTCCCTTTAAAGGGGTTAGAGGGGGACTATATAGGGTTTAGGGTTAAGGGTCCAAGGACTCAAATAATAGGGTTTGAGGGCCCAAATACCATTAATATTAATGGTATCTGGGCCCTAAAACCCTATTATTTGGGTCCTTGGACCCTTAGGGTAAAGATTCTGCATGACTTTAGCATGACTTTAAGTATCTCCTACCTTGGGGATTATGGTGTTGCAGAATACTACGGGCATGCAGTATTCTCTGTATCAACGGCATCTCACCACGTACCTCAGAGTTCAATTCGACTCATGTTGGCCCTTGTTCATGCGCCAGGTCCCAAGCCCGTTTACTAACTATTAGTAGGGTTCAGTGTTCAGGCCTTCGTTACGGGGAGTGGAAGCTACGTGGCCTTGGGATGTAGTGCGTGGGGCTGAAGGTTCAGCATTGGAGCTCATTCTTACGTCCTAACTTCTAAGTTTACGGGTTTTTAGCCTTCATCCCTAAACCCTAAACCGCCATCCCAGACCCAAATTCCTATGCCCCAAACCCTACGCCTGCATGTTCGGGTCCTCTACTTACTCCTAGAAGCGCTGCAGTCATGTATTGGGCTTCAGTACTGTTCCATAGCCCCTATACGGTTTAGGGTTTAGGGTTTAGACTTCGATCCTTAACTTGAAACCCACGACGCCAGGCGTCCCCAACGAGCGAAGTCGCCACTTGTCCGACCTCTGCAGCCTGGGCGAGGTGCGGTCAGCATTGCTTTGCGGACAGACATGGAGCGTATAAGGTTCAAGGCTGAAGTTTAGGGAGGGCGACATTACCCAAAAAACGGAGAATCCAAAAAACGGAGAATCCGTCACCCCAATTGTTTCAGATCAAATGGAAGGAGCACGGAAAATGAAATGGAAGCTGGAGATAACTAGAGGTTCATAGGGTTGTAACTGTTCATACCCTATGATACGACAATGCCATACGCAAAGGTAAAAGGCACTCAGTGTCATGCGGGGCTTGCAGGAACCACCATGGGTTTGCGTAGGGTTTTAGGATTCAGGGTTTGGGATGCATGCGGTTTCGTATGTTGTGCTTTAAGGTTTAGGCTTCGAGGTGTAGAGTTTAAGGTTTGGGGTTCAGGGTGTGGGCTCTAGGGTTTTAGGGTTCAAGGTTTAAGTCGAGTAGTGCCGTTTGCCTGGGACTTGACAGCCCCCGTTTGGATAAGGCTATCTTCTCCCTTCGGCTGTAGTATCTTGTCAGAGGAATATAAGCTGGCTCCTATGAACCCAAAGAGTATTTAGCTTGGTGTGATTCTGGCTGCTTCGATTCAGGGAATGGGTCTGGGATTCATTACAATTCGGATGCAGGTCTATAGGTCAGCCCAGGCCCCTGGTTAATAAACCCTCTCCACTTATTTTGGATTATAATAGAGATCCTAATATTGAGGACCTTAAGAGGAGGGGGGGGGGTAGTAATCATGGGTCTACACTTTAAGCCCTACATCTCAGATGTGCCTTAAACATGATTCTAGTCGTTTTGGCATGCTCAGCCTATCAAACATCTCAATCTTGAGTAATCTTGAGTGATTCGGTGTTTCATGTTTTGGGGTTAAAGGAAAGCCGAGCAGGGAATGTCAAGCTATTGCTTGAAGTAACGGACCTAGTTTACAGGCAAGTGAGCCATATTGGTTAGGAGGACCCCCCACCCTGTAATAGTGGTATAAAATAGGAATGTAAGAGGACCCTGATATAATCCTTACTGTTCCTTATAGTCACTATGGGGGTGGGGGGTCTACCTAACATATTATGAGGCCCTGCATCTCTTAGGACCCTTTGCAGGGATGCCAATGGAGCCCTTTACGTCATGTACATATGAGCTGTAGTCTAAACTCCTTAAAGGGGGGTTACATAGGGGATTATATAGGAGGGGTTATTAAGGGAGATACCAGGAGTTTAGACTATGGCTCATATACAGCCACGCACACAGTTGCATCTACACTTATATGTATGCTTATACATGTATAGTAGACTGGTCTGTATACAAAGCCTGAAAGTAACATCTTAATGTATGCACATGTTTATATAGTTGTATGCATTCAGCTATGCCCTCCGCAGGTAATCATTTCATCTAGAAGCCTCCGCAGATAATTTTCTAATCCAGAAGCATAAACAACAATTAATATCATGGTGCGATATCCCCTGTGTCAGCATTGTATTGGGTACCTCAGATAGACCCCTATAGACCTTTGACCAGTTCTAGACTAACGTTCTATCCCGCTTATTCCTTCGTGGAGGGAGGTGTTGGTCGACAGATGGGGCCAGATCTCGATCGAAAGTATGTATTTTGGTGATTTTGAGTCCTAGGATTATGATTTCAGGTAACTGACCTACACCCGAAACCTCAAACCCTAAACCACGTAGAGTCACCACCCCACCCAAAAAACAACAACACTAAACTATCCCTGACTCACTACCCTAGCTATGTTGTTTTTTTTGCCCTAAGGGTCCAAGGACCCAAATAATAGGGTTTTAGGGTCCAAATACCATACTATTAGTGGTAG